TCTCTCTCTCTCTCTCTCTCTCTCTCTTTCTGTGTGTCTTCCATCCGTGATAACCAATTAATCACCTCGACCAAAGCTACTATTTTCAGTAAACATCACGCGCTGCCCTGTGTACACGCACGTGCGAGAGAATATGCGTGCTAGTGAGTGAAGACTTGCGATGATTTTGGGATAATATTACAATGGTAATATTGTGGGATGAGTGCATTGCCATTCCTTTTTTTTTAACAGATGAAGTCATTAACGCAATAGCTAAACACACACACACAATGTTTTAACCTAAAATTTAGAGAGAGAAAAAATTGCTTTCTACCAGGCAGACAGAAATGAATATTTCTCTATAGCCCGCCCCATTTTTAAAAAAAGTCTTTGTTTTAATTTTGAGGGGTAAAGATTGTGTGGTTTCTTTTAAAACGTGACACAAAAACAGGTCCACCATAATTTTATATTATTTGTCATATAGATTAAACTTTTAAATACTCATGAAAAAGCAAGTGCTGATTCCTTCTCCAATGAAAACGAAGTGTATCCGATTTCATCTGCCTTTGCCAAAACAAAAAACAAAAAACAATTTGAATTTTAAAAAGTGAAGGATTGTCAGAATTGTTTTTAAGATCGCTCATTTGGTTGGGGAGAGCAAATTTTTGGAATAAAAAGGTTCATGATAATATTATTGTGTTTTGAATGTTCTTTTTTATTTATCTCACTGCTCATTCTTTACCAAGGAATTGACGGCAATTAAGGTATAGGAGTCTTGTGCCGACTCCCACCACCAATCCCCCCCCCACCCCCATGGAACATTGAAGGCTTACAAGACTGCACAATGACCTCCTTGTCTGTAACTTTTCAGTCTGGACAAATCGCCACCTTAGAATTACCAAGTTCTATCTGACATTTCTGGCCGTTTGGAGTTACTACAACCATGAGGTCCTGACCTCACCATCAATGATTTATTTATAGAGGCACCAGCCATCCATGTCCAGGTGCTGTTGTAGCCTCTTTTTCCTGTATTCGAATTAATAATATCTTTTTGCCAATTTATTGGTTCTGCCTCTATGTACCCCCATGTTCTCAAACTGGAAATCGCCTATAAATCGCTGTAATTGCCTCCCCCCCTCCCCCACCCCTTCTCATCA